ATCTGGGATCCATTTCGATGCTTCTCTTGAAAGGCATTTTTGTCCTCTCCGAGGGACCAGGACGACCCGGACGCTGCTCAGTTGTTTCCTTGCCGTGTTTCCTGAACTGCACGATGATTCTGTTAACTGTCGAAAGCGGGATTCCCAAATTCTGCGACATTTGCCGCTGACTTATTCCACCATCTGCTTGACCAACTATCTTTCCTCTAACAAAATCTGACAATTCGAGAGAACCTTGAGTTCTAGGCATGTTGTAGCACAACATAATTAGTGTGCGGACCATTTTCATTTATATAGTGCTCTTCGAACACAAATTAGTTAGCATAAATCAGTTAAATGACGAATAATTAGGTGTCTATTTACTTGTGACCACTCAATGTACACATATATTTTTTTATACTTGCAATTATGCCCAAAGCCATTACGACATGTGGGCTTTGTTTTTTAGATTAACACGTTTTTCTGTCCACTTTTCTACCGTTAATTTGGGGTGCATCGAACAATCTGAAATGACCAATGATTTATTTGCTTCTTTTAAAATTTTAGCGTACGATGGCTCTCTACGAACATTCGTCCTTAATTTTGAACTAAATAAACTAAAGGGAAGGCAGCTAGTCAACAGTACCCACCCCCAACTCTTGGGGTACCCTTGTTCGGCCGAATGGTGGGATTTGACTGCTACTCTTATAGCTCGCTTATGGCCACAAAGTCCGAAGCGCAGTTTTGCAACAATGGGACGCGAACCGTAAACCTCGGATCCACAGTCCTGAGGGTATACAGCTAACCAACAGTACTCACCGTCAACTCTTGGGCTGCTCTTCTTTGGTCGAATGGTGTGGTTTGACTGTTACTTTTATAGTATACTCATGAACCCAAAGCCCGAACCACTGTTTTGCAACAAAGGGACGCGAACCGTGAAACTTCGAATCTACAGTCCGAACACGCTAACCTCTAGATCACATCTGGCCCAGCGAGCAAGGAAGAGGAGCTTAAAAGTAGTGGACCAGTTAATAAGAAACTACTGCAGAAACCAACTTAATTTTAGAGCTACAGAGTCTGTTTTTATAAATTGTTTATACGCTAATTTTTTTGTAAGTACGTGACTTTGTTCGTTACAGAATTCTAATAGCACACAAAACAAGCCATCAATTTTCCAGGTAACCCCATTAATTACTATTGGGATCGCTTTTATATGAGTGATTCACTCCAATTTTTCTGATCAGTTCTTTACACATGCAAAAACAAAACATTAAATTATTTAATATAATATGATGCATTATGTTAACTCCACCAACTGAAAAACCATGTAGACAACTGTTAGGATTAAACGATTTACTTGCTGCCCTACCGGAACGTGTACTTTGATGTATTTGTAAATGTATTAGACTTGTTGGACTAGTTGAAATAGAAAAGCATCTTTCTGAAAGTTACACAAATTTTGAGTCCCCTTAACCATTTGAATGCTTGGTTGCATTTAAATGGTTCAGAGAATTGGAGGTTCGACTTTTCTATTGAAATCTAGGCCTTGTCAGTCAGCTGGGTTTATGACGTCATACAGACCTATTCTTTAGGAGGGCCGAAGGGAATCTAAAAGACACCTGAAACCAGCGTTGGCAGGAAACATTTATCAGGATATATTTTCTATATGTGCAAGTGTTTGTTTGTCCCGGATGTTCGCGCAAAGCTACATAAGAGTTACCTTTTAACCATCCCTAATTTTGAACTGATAGACTAGGTACTAGAGAGTAGGCAGCTAGTCAACAGCAAAAGACGTGTTATGGAGAGTTGTAGCAAAAATAGGCATATTAGGGTGACGCTAGAAAATGGTGTGTTCTCTAAATAAAGTATAATATGTTATTTACTTATTGTTGCTTTCATTAACGATATTGGTTACACTATTTAATATATGACATGTCATTACTTTTTAATTCTATTTGTATTATTATACTTGCATTACAGACATTGTTTTGCATTGTTAGCTTAACGTATATAATTAGGGATAACCTGAATCTCCTAAGTTGGCCGAGATATCACTGAGATTACGTCAAAAATATCGTTAATAAACAGTGTATCCGACTGATGAAACAATACATTTTAAGCTCTACAAGTAGAAACGTGAGAAAATTATATTTAATTAGCTATATTGATCGCCAGGTGGATTTATAAGTTTCGATCTGTTCGGAAGTTGGTATTAATTAATATTTTATATTCATTATCATTTATTAACCCGTTTTTTTTATATATTCCATAAAATTTTTTTTATATTTTCTCTTCACTATAGTTTTATTTTTTTAAACATTTTGAGCTTTATTACCATAATCTGATTTATACAAAAGTACAATTCAATTTCCTTTGTTTGGTTTAGTTATAATTGTAGCTTTAACCATTTTTAACTGATTAAGTGCCTCGAGTTCTTTCCGACTTATGTTAAGCGGATTTTTCTTTCCATGTTATTTATGGAAGGATGTTAAAGCTACTCCTGTCACTTGTGTATAACACTGCTGTTAAGTGATTCATTGCTATTTGAAGAACTAGAAGAGATCAAATGATTAAACACATTTAGAGATATGATTATAACTGAATGAAACAAAGAAAACGGAATCGTACTATTGACTAAAATATATTAATAAATTTTAAGATATTTTAAAATATAAGACTAAATTTAAGGGAAAATAGTTTACGAGAATATTTATTCAAGATAAAGCAATACATGATAATGAATATAAATGGACAGTATCGGCAGGATCAAACATAGGCGTTTTATATGGATTATCTAAAGTGCATGAAGAAATATGTCTGAGAATACTGACTGTATTTAATACTGGTACATATAATGATGAAAAGGTAGATTTTCTTATGAAATATATCAAGTTATCAAGTATTAATGTGTTTCCTATTTCAGAGAGCTTTCGAAACGAAATATGGCCCGGCATGGCCAGGTGGATAAGGCGATCGACTCGCAATCTGAGGGTCGTGGG